GGAAGACACAGAACCACTTTCTGCACTTTCCAAGTTAGGCTGGCATCAAACTGCCGTGTGGGAGGCACCAGGGTTTGCAAGTGACAGAAGGAATTCCAACTTTTTCCACGATCTGGCTTTGCCTGTTGAAATTTTTAGGATGGAAGAAAATGATATTCTTTGCTTTCTTAATTGGAAAATTGTTCTGGGAGATTCTCTTCTTCGTGCTTGAATTGAAAGTAGTGGACTGTACACGCTATTGGCAGAAGAATTAGTGTGAGGAAGTCCTGCAGCTAACATGCTGTTATTAGAAGAATCCCAGAATGGTTGAGCTTGGACAGATGGATGTCCTCTGGTCCAACCACTGTGCTCTAACAGGCACCTGTATTGTTATCCTGGGCAGATATTATGACAGTTGCTTTCTGGAGGTCAGATGTGTGCTTATCATAAGGTCTTAATTGCCCTCTGGAGAGTCTAATTTCTTGTCCTTGGGTGGTAACTCTGACAAGGGTACTTCCTAACATGGATGCTTCAGCTGACCCCCTGCTGTACGTGGCACTAAGACGTTGTACAGAACTATATGTAATGCCATTCCAGTTATGGCAGTGGTGATGCACACTTTGTAACATGTGATTTCTGGTTGCATTCTTCTTTGTATTCAGAGAGATCCTGATGCATTGATTGCTTTTGTTAGCAGTGATTTTTGTTTTTAACCATGTGCCTTGTTGCTAATCCTCCAATTTGTTGTAGATTGGGATTGTTGGCCGAACTGGAGCAGGGAAGTCTTCCATGACCCTCTGTCTCTTTAGGATCCTGGAAGCTGTAAAAGGGGAAATTATAATTGATGGTGTGAGGATTTCAGAGATCGGCCTCCATGACCTTCGATCAAGGCTGACAATCATTCCTCAGGTACCTTTTCTGTGTATCATGGTTTAGCAAACCGCAGAGAATAGTTCAGATCGGTCCTGTCCTGTCACCTCGCAAACTGATGGGTGATAAAACAGAGTTTGTGATGAAGTATCTTTAGAGTTGTTTCACTAAAGTGGATGCTTCACTGTGTGTAATGCAGTGTATTTTCAAGGTGGTTGGGATCAGGAGATGGCTTAACTTCAGTGTGATGGACACTTGAAAACAGCTTTATGTACTAATGTCTGTACTTGAAACAGCTAATGGACTTGTCTAATGAAAGGTGGTTGTCTGTCCAGGATCCTGTTCTCTTTTCTGGAACACTGAGGATGAACCTGGATCCATTTAATAAATATTCAGATGAAGAAGTCTGGAAAGCTCTTGAACTGTCTCACTTGAAGAGGTTTGTCAGCAGTCAGCCAGCCATGTTGGAATTTGAGTGCTCAGAAGGTGGAGAAAACCTTAGGTAAGGAAAGTTTGCATTAGAAACATACTGTGAGTTTTCATTCAGCCCTAACAGCAGTAACAGCTTAACACTGTTTGTTGTTAGTTTGTTGTGTGCAGTGGTATGTAGCCCCCTATTTCTGATGTAAGCAAGGCTCAAACATTGAGTTGCTGTTCTGCCACTTCTGGAAAGATCCAGTTCTCTTTTGCTGCTGGGAAGGATTTCTGCCAAACCAAACTCCTGTCTTATCGGTATAGGAAGAAGGTTTGGGATGACAGTGTCAGGAACACTTAAACATTTGGTGGATTTGATAGGAAGGGAAATACTGTGGTGATGTGTAACTGTTGTGCTGGGTGAGATTCCTCTGCCTGAAGTGATGTCAGCAATGGTTGCTTGTTGTTAGTTAGGAAGAGCTTGAAGAAGGACGTGAATGAGATGGCAAAGCATCATGCTTTGATGGGCTCTATTGCTTCTGAGAGCACGGTGTAAGCAGGTGATTGTTTGATGATGTTCATCCTGTTGTCCCACAGAGACGCCCAAAGGCCGTGTCTGGGGCAGTGTGGGCCACCCACTTATTTTATTTGGTGGTAGAATGGATGTGCAGCCTCAGAACTTTTTGATTTTATTTTTGGAAGTCTGTGTATGCTCAGTGTTGTTCCAGCTGTGTGCTCCTGAGGACTGGGGCAGAAGCACTGTGATTATTGGTTTTTGACGTAGTGGCAGAAAGGGGGGACGTTTGGTGGCTCTGCCCAGGCGCTAAGTGAAAGCACATTGCAAGTTGCTGAGTAGTGCTGCAGCGAGCGTTTCTTTGCTCCTGGGCTGACACACTGCTTGCTAAATACCGATTCTGTTTTTTGGTTGGGTTTCTTTATCCATTGAGAACAAATGATTCTGAGCCATGGGAGCTGCAGGGCAGCACAGCCTCTGAGAAAGCCTTGTCTCTGCCTGCAGTGTTGGCCAGAGGCAGCTCGTCTGTCTGGCGAGGGCGCTGCTCCGCAAGACGAGAATCTTAATCCTGGATGAAGCAACAGCAGCTATCGACCTGGAGACGGACGACCTGATCCAGATGACAATCAGGACTCAGTTTGAAGACTGCACGGTGCTGACAATAGCGCACAGGCTGAACACCATTATGGATTACACAAGGTAGGACTCATGGTGGTGCAGCCTGCATGCTGGCTATGGGAAGCAGCACTTGGAGGGCTGGTTTGTCTCCACAGAGTGACAGTGATGCTCTGGTCCAGCAGTCCATGAGCAGTGATGTCTAAGCCCTGTAACCCTGGGATATCCAGCCCCAGTTTTGCTTCTGCTTCTGAAATAAGTTCCATATTCATTGACCAGAGCTATGCAAGAGATATTACCCACTTGTACTAGGCACTGTCAGCAAGCTTATGGGTCTGTTTTTAACCAGCAGCTGCTGTAACCTTTTCACTAATATCATGTTGAATTAATTAGTTCTGAAACTATTCCTAAAATTTATGAGCTTTTTCCCTCCTCGGCTTTGTGGTACAACATTCCCAGTTACAAAGCTACCAATGTCACTGTTTCTTTCTGTGTACTTTTTAAAATCAAACAACAGTTCAGGGAGAACGTCAGCCATCTATTGTGCTTCCGTGTGGGAACACAGCTGGGCACAACGAAGTCCAGGGAAAGAGCAGAGCGTTATGGATATTACATTTTCAGAGAGGAATTTCTCTGATCTGTCTTCTGCCCCTTTTGTTCTGCACAGGATTCTTGTGCTGGACAATGGAGCCATCGCAGAATTTGATACACCTGCAAACCTTATAGCATCAAAGGGGATTTTCTATGGTATGGCTAAAGATGCTGGGCTGGCATGAGAAGAAGACCCTGTCCTGAGGGCGCTCTGGTTTTGGTTTGTTGTTGTTTTTAATGTTACTGACTTGCCACAAAAGTGACTTCTGAATGTACTGTAATTCACGTCAGTTCTTGTAGGTGATTAAACTTGTGATAAGTGAACTGAGCATTTTACAATGGTAAGGACCAGAAAGTTAATTTTATATTTTTTAAATATTTTCTATAAAGTATTTTGTTAAATGTTTTTTTTTTTCTCCAAAGAATGCCAAGAAAATGTATGTGTCACAAGGCAACATGTACTGCACTTCGTTTATGATTAGTAAAATTATATTCATGGTACAAAATACAGCTGCTTTATGTCTTCTGGATAGAGACCCATTGGTTCTGAGGTGGAAGGAAGGGCCTGCTTAGGCAGCAGCTCAGCTTGGAAACATGGTGATAGAAAGCTGAGTTTCAGAGTGGTCGGATGTGTACCTGGCAGTATTTCCCCAGGATGAGTTGGTGTCCCCTGCATAGGGAAACTTCAGGGTTATAAAGTTCCTCTTCTGCTGCAGAGCTAGGAATAATTTGTACATAAACCTAAACACATGGCTTAATGTGAGCAATGAATTGCAATTCCTGCTTGCGTAGCAGATGCCCACGTAAGCCTGCAGGGACACGATGGCACACAGTTACTTTGTTCTATGTCCCTCCTGTATGAAGTTGTCCTAAGCTGCTGTTCCAGCTGCACGCGCTGCGGGGATCACGGTCACAGAATCACAGACCTGGGATGAGGATGAGGGCGTTACTTCTCTCCCTGAATGCTTATCTCCTGAAATACAGATGACGTTACTGCCTTATTGCTGATGCTGATAGTTGGGCCCTCTCAGATGAAGGGCAGTGCTGCATTATAAGCAACATTTGCTGCTGGGATCTCACAGCATGGCTTCTATGCTTTGGCAAAATGCCATGTGAGAAAAGGGTGCAATGTTTCTCTGTAAGAGAAGTTCTGAGGAACTTTGAGAAGACAAAAATAACTTTATTAATTGTTACAAATGATACTTCTGAAATCGAAACAAGAATCTGCAGCCAAGCATTCATTTGAAATTAACATTTCACACAGCAATGCAGAGAGTAACAACTTATTTATCATACACACAATGTTACGGTTGTAAATGGTCAGATGAAGTCAAGAGAGTTACAGTATCTTCTATGCACGAACTGCACGCTGTATAAAAATATTCTCTGAATGCATAGTTATCTCCACGCGGCCCCAGCCCTGCAGCTGGGCTTCACTCCAGGAGCTCCGGCTGCTCACCTGCACAGTCTGTGCCCCGATCTGCTGAGCTGCCACATGGAGAGCCCGTACCAAACCACATCTGTTGTGCAGGGCTGGAAGGGCTCCAGCACGGCTGGGAGCTGTGCCCCCTCCTGTCCCCGTCTCGCAGAGGGAGGCGAACAACAGACTGCAGCCAGAGGAAGCATCTCAGGTGGGAAGAGTGGCGAGGAAGTTCGGGATGCACTTTGCACCTCGGCTCCTCCTGCTGGTTTGGGCGATTCCGTGCCAGCGCACCGCTGCTGTCAGCCCAGGGCTGTGTGCAGTCAGGGCTGTGGCGGGCTGCCATCTCCGGATGCAGGAAGGTGAGGTGCTGTGGGTGCTGCAGTTCCCGAGGAGAACGGGACAGGGAACAAAGCAGCAGTGGGAAGCGCAGTCCGGCTGCGTACGTTGTTTGCCTGCTACATTGCTGCTTCACTTCCTTCATCCAATTCACAGTATGTGTTTTTACAGTGATGCTACCAGAACAGAACTCTACACCAGAAGCAGATAACCAAGTAAATATTAACATCCAAAAAAGAGAGATAAAATCCAGCTCGCTGTCGTCTTAAATACTTCTCATTTTATTTATTCCAGAACATCATACCAAAGCAGTCTGATTCTGAACTTTATGGAACAGGAACATGGTTTTTTGGTTTTGTTTTTTCTTCCAGTAAGCAACAAAGGCAAGAACAACTTGCTGGGGAAGAAAGCCACATTGCATAGGAACATCATGATCTCAGCGCGAGCTCAGCGCTGGGCCTTTCACTGATCTCTTCTGACATGGCCAAGCTTAAAGTTTCCAGGTGAGGCCTTTCTCAGGAATGCAGGCAAAAAAGGACAATAAAATTACAACTGTTGTGCTTTTAAAGGGGAAAGAAAAGCAGCATTGGACAAACGCGCTTCCAACACGTAACAAAAACAGTATTTTGAATTGCACGTGTCAATGCCGTCCCCTGACAAGACAGTGAGAAAATGGGTCTGTGGTTTTGGAGAAGAGTGTTTTTATCATTTGGATGATTATTATCACTGTTTTTGACCTGAGAAATAGGGAAAGGTGCAAAGAGGTATTAAGAAATCACAGGCAGTACATTACTTAACAGTATTGAAACAAGACATTTTTGTGCTTCTTCCACGGATTTAGAACCCTTCTGGTTTGAGCTGACTACAGACAAACGCTGTGGAAAGTGAGCAGCAATGGTAACAGACTCAGTACAGACAGTAAATGGGTTTTATGGAAGGTTTTTTAACACGAGAAGCTCTGCTGTGTTCCAGCACACCGACTGGCAGTGCAGGTTAAGGGAAGCCCTTCCCTGAGAGCTGCCCCACTGCAGGATGATGGTCTGTACGGGGCACTAATGGGGACTTCTCAGCAATACTTCCCGTGCACGAGCTGCTCTCACATCAGACTGAGTATTTCACATTAACTAGAGGCTACCATCTTTAGTGCAGAACAGCTTCAGTTTATTTCAAAGTTAACAAAATAGATTTTTTTTCTTCGCATCATTAGCCCTTATAGATACCGTATTTCAAAAGTAATTTTAAAATGAGAGATAGAAATAGTTTGTTTTGTTCTTTAAATGATTAATAGGTCAGTTCTGATGCCTTCTTGTTATAACCACTCTGTTCGGAAAGTGCTGGGGCTCTGAAAGGGAAGTTTTTGTCGCTTACTGTCAGAACAAGTTCCAGTTCTTGGAAATCCTGTAGCCTTGCCACATCTTTGTCCTTTGAATAAATACAGTAAGTTTTATTAGCTGATGAACCACACGTTCCATTTTGCAGTGGTACACTAAAATAATAGGCTTATAGTACAACAAAGCATGTATTTATCCATATACGTGACAGTTCTTTAAACTGGAAAGCAGAGCTCCTGCTGCATCTTAGCTTTTCCTGGCATCTTACGCAGCTACTTTTGAGAAGGACCGCAATGCTGGTGCTGAGCACAAGCGATGAGTGGAATTACACCTGTACATGTCTGCTCTGTGCTTTCTTCCTTTAGTACACTGTTCTGAGCTGCACCCCAGCCACCACACTTCCCCCTTCTGGCCATTCTTCGTGAATCACTGCACTGCTGGGAGCTGCATGGGGCTGAGGGACGGCAGTGTCCCACAGCTCAGGCTGCACATGCTGCTCCAGCAGCAGCGTCCAGGCAGCTGCCAGTCCAGGCAGAGTCGTCCTGCGGTCCCACCAGGGCGGTCTGAAGTACAGACTGGACAGACTCCCTTCAGCAGCAGCAGCAGTCAGCAAGTGGCAGGACTGCTTTTGTCTTTTTTTGTTTTTTTTTTTGTCTAACAAGGACTAAATCACTTTATACTCAGAGAAGATGCAGCATGCTGACCTCTGCAGCGCAGTGCCCATCAGTGCCCTGCCGCTATTGCCCACAGTGCTCTACCAGCACATGAGAGCCAAAGAGGCCAAGGGTTCTCAGCAGAGCTGTGCAGTGGGTCCCTTCTGCGTGGCCTGTGTCACCAAAGCTAAAAGACAGCCCTGTGCACAGGGCCACACTCAGACTCTCAACACTGCAAGTCCATGCAGAACTGCACCAACCCAGCACAGTGCTGCAGGGCACTGCTGGTGCAACAAGAGCTGAGCGACCAACAGCAGCATCAGCCGCTGCTCAGTGCCTTCTGCAAGCACCGCAGTGACACTGTGGGACTGTGGTCAGAACGTCACACGTCTGACACAACCTGCAACACAACACCACCACGGTGCTGGGTGAGGGCACGGCTCAGGGACAGCTCAGCATCACAGTGCCAACCAAGAGCGGAGCTCATCCTCCTCGCCTTTCCCTCTGTGACAGCAGGCATTGCCCAAAGCAAACACTGTCATCTTTCTGGGACGCAGACACAGTGCAGGTGATAAATGAATGAGTACTTTTTAATGATAACCTAAATAGTTTTTTAAATATATGCTACTGCATTCAGAATGAAGAGTTCTTACCTTTCTCAGCATTGTGTTTGGTAATTTTCTGATCTTCTGTACATGTTCAGGGTTAACACCCAGCTCACGGCAACTCACTCGGAGCAGTTCCTTATAGGTCAGCTCTTGTCTGTCCAGCTCAATTTCAATGAAGTCATTTTCTTTAAGACTAGGGTTTTGTATTCTAACTTTAAGCACCAGTTCTATTCAAAATAAAAGGGTACATTCACAGGTAGATGTGTAAAACAATTAGAAAACACCATACTATGTATTTCTACGTTCTATCAGCCAGTCTTATCACCTGTAACAACACAAGAAGCCCCCACACCAGCAGCTGGGCAGCTGGCCGGTATTTGCCCACAGAAGGGCCACCCACCTCAGCTCCCAGCTGCTCCTGCAGATGGAGCCAGCCGAGCTTCTCTCTTGGGCTCTTCAGTTGAAGGAGATGCCACTTAGAGAACAGAGGTACCCCACTTTCCCTGTGCTTTTACAGTGTTTGAGACAAACTGCGAATGTTTGCATCGATATTTTAATAGCGGTTCCAGCAAGAACAGCACTGCCTTTTATACTGCCTCCAAACAATTCCCCGGAGCCTAACACGCAAGAACCTGGACAGCTGAAGGAGCACTGACTAAACGTCACAGCAACTCCTCCACTTGCACCGTCCAAGGTGACAAAACCCGAGGAGAGGTGAGGAGAAACGCTTTTGCCGTTACCTTGCATATTAAGTGGAAAAGCTCCTGTGAAGAACACGGGCTGGAAGGTCGGCACGGGCCCCGTGCAGGAGCCGCTGCCCAGCGGAGCTCCGGGCTGCTGAGGTCCGGCGGGGGAAGGAGGAGCTGCGCCCCACGGCGCCTGGAGCAGCGCGCTCTGAGCTGCGGCCCCGGAGCACCGCAACCCGGCGCACACAGCGGGAGCCGCGTCCTCACAGCGCGCCGACGGCCGCACGCACAGCTGTGCAGCGGGCGGCAGGGAGGAGGCAGAGCTCTGCCGTTCCCCGCGGGACGCGCTGCCGTTGGCAGGGGGCTCCGGGAGGCTGCTGCTCATGGAGTTGTAAATGTAGGGGAAAGGTGGGTTAGCCAGGTAGTTAGGGATGATGGGCAGCTCCGAATTGGTTGCTACGTCTGGGAGTTCGTCCTCTTCCACTGTAAAACAAACAACAGGACGTTATCCGAGGCTGGTCGGAAAAAAACAGAAGTGCTGCTATTGCACTGTGGGATTTTGTGTGCATTTTTTGTATGCGTGGTGCTTGTGGGGGAAAAGGAGGGGTAAAAGCACCACGGGACCGGAGGTGAATTAAGGAGCTCCGCACCGCCTCTCTACAGTAAAGGAATTGTTCTCAGGTGTTGAAATACAGTGAATGCAAAAGCAGAATCTGATCCAAACAGTGCTGGGAGCACCGTTCCCTTCTGAATACTGCCATCCTTCTTTCTTTTTCACTTGATTTTTATATTCCTTTTCTAATCCGTAATTGGCACATCATGGCACGGTCTCTGGTGGCACAATGCCATCATCTTCATAATGCAAAAGGCAATGAAACACAAAGGGTGTTTGATGTTGAGGCAGGTGTTAAAGGGAAAAGCAGGCACAATGCTGAACTGAAACACGACCAGCTCAGCAGCTGGGAGACAATCGTGAAAACAAAAAGAAATACAAAGGGGAGGAGAAAGGCTGTTAATTAACCACAGTTCAAATTACTTCATCACCTGTTGCAGCAAGGCCTGCCCCACTCCAGCCATTATGAAACACAGCAGAAATGCTCCAGCAATGCGCTTAATGAGCTGCTTCTCTGGGTGCTGATTTGAAAATTATTCAAGACCATGTCTGAACTTCAGAGAACAACAGGAAAATTAGTTGTTGTTCATGCACCGTGATGTTTCATATAAATCGGAGATATCTTCCCCTGTTCACCTTTGGAAAATCAGGATCTGTGTCTGTGTGACTGGTTGAATCACAGCATTTTTTAACACACAGCTTTTCCAGTTTTTGAGGAAAATCCCAACAACTTGGTGAGCTGGGTGTGGAAATTGTCGGTAATCTCTTCTGAGCTCTAATTTCTCACTAAGCAGAGTGTACAGACTTTGATTTCTCACCAAGCAAGCAGCACAGACGCCAAGTCCTGTACTGCAAGCGTGTAACACCACATCACAGCACACACAGCAAGGCTGGAAACAAGAGCCTCCGCCCGCCTTCCCCGCACACAGCAGCACAGGTACCTCCCAGCATCCTGCGGATCTCCTTGTGGGACGTCAGCTGGGCTGGCCGCTCCCCCTTCCTGCTGAGGATCTCCTTATCTGCTCCGCAGAGCAGCAGCTGGGCCACCACAGCCGCGTGGTTCCGCTTGCAGGCCCAGTGCAGGCACGTCCTGTGCACCGAACATGGGAACAATGCTTGACTTAATTACTGCAATCCCCCGCTTGTTCTCACTGAATATAAGACGACCTAATGCACGTCTAACATAGAAGAAGTTTTTAGCAGCAATGCCCCTTGCAGAAGTGCGCTGCTTCTGGAGTCCGCAGTGACACCTGCTGATGCAGTTTTCCCTTCCCTTGCGATCTTAAGGCGAGGTACCACAGCAGCATCAGCAGGGTTGGTTTCAGATGCTCATTTATTGGGATATTTTTGAGGAAAATAGATATGACTTACGTATGTATTTTTCAATCTCTAAACGAGCAAGTTGCATACTGGCATGTGTGAGCTAAGAACGCGCTCCCCGAGGGCGCTATTTTTAGTCTTTAATTAACGCTTTTTGGGTTTTTGATTAATCCAATCAGTTCACCGAGCTGAGCTCTTCCAGAAGCACATCCGTATCACCGCCCCATGCCGGGGGCACAGCGCTCAGCACGCACTCAGCGGAGCGCACGGCCATCGCTCTCCCGTTTCTCCCGCTTCGTGCGGCCGCTCGCCCCCAGAACGTCCCCACAAGGGCCGCTTCGGAACGGCGATTCGGACGGGGCCGCCCGGAGCATCGCTGCGCGCTCCGCCGTTCCGCTCGTCCGTACCGGGGAAGCTCCCGGCAACAACGAGCGCGGGGTCGCATCGCTCCCCCCGCCCTCCCCCCGCGTGGCCGCGCACAGCCGTGCCGCCGTGCGGAGCTCCGGGCCGCTCGGTGCCGCCGCCCGCAGAACGCCGCTCCGCCCCGCGGCTCTCACCACCCGTTGACTTCGTTCTGCGCGTTGGGGCTGACGCCGAGCGCCAGCAGCCGCCGCACCTCCTCGGCGTCCCCCAGCGCCGCCGCCTCCCGCAGCCGCTCCTGCAGCTCCTTCGCCTCCATCCCCGTGGCCGGGCTGGGAGCGCCGCCGGGCCGCGACGGGGGGACGCAATTCTGTGTGGCAACGCCGAGCGGGAGCTTTGGTTCCTACCGGCAGCGCCGCGTGCGGCCGGCCCGGCTCCGGCTGCGGTTCGCGCTCGGGCTGCTGCCGCTCCGTCGCCCGCATCCCCTCCCTTCTGAGCGCCGCGCCGCTCCGCCGCCATCGGCACGGCTGGCTTTGCAAAGGCGCCTTCCTGCGCTGCTCGGTTTGTCCGAGCGGAGTTCGGGAGAGAAGAGAGGGGTGAGAAAAAAAGAGCGCAAATCCCCCGAGCACCGCATCGCCAGGCGAGAACGGAGCGGGGCGGCCGAGAACGGTGAAAAGGAGGAGCCGCGGCTCGGAGTCACAGCCGGGGATGAGACCCCGCGGGGCCGGGCGGGGCAGCCCGAGGGCGGAGCTGCAGAGACGTCAAAACACAAAACAAAACCCGCGCCCCGCCAGGAGGAGCGCCGAGGCCGGGTGCCGTTCGGCCGAGAATCCCGCCGCCCCGCCCCGCGCGGTGCATTGTGGGCCGGGCGAGCAGCGCAGCCGCCATTTTGTCTGTGTCAGTTCGGCGCGGCGCGGGCGGTCGGGGCGCGGGGCCTCGAAGTGCCAGACGCGATGATTTCGGCCGCGCAGCTCCTCGATGAGCTCATGGGCCGGGACAGGAACCTGGCGCCGGACGAGAAGCGCAGCAACGTGCGGTGGGACCACGAGAGCGTGAGTGCGGCGGGGCCGCCTCCGCCCTCCTCCTTCCCCTCCCCCCAGGGCCGGGCCCGGTCGGAGCGGCGCGGCGGGCGGGGCGTCCCCGCTCCGTGCGGGGGGAGCAGCCCGCGCCGAGGGGTCGAGAGCCGGAACCGGAGATCCGAGCGGGGCGCGGGGAGGCCGCGGCTCGGGCGGGAGTCCTGTGCGCGGCGCCGTTAAGCGGAAGCGGGGCGGCCGTTGGGCCCGGCGGGGCGGCGGCGCGGCCACAGGCCGGCAGGGCGGCGCTCAGAGAGCGGAGCGGAGCGGGGCTCCCTTTGTTGGCACCGCAGGGCTCCGGGGCTGAGTGCGGCCGTCCCTCGGCTTTCCTGCAATAAACGACGCCGATAAGGCTTGTCGCGCGCTCCGGGGAACGCTTTCCGCGGTAGAGCCCATCGTTAGCGAATGGTGGCTTTTACTGCCGTCCGTCCTAGCGGTATTGCCGAGTGATTTCCGTAAAGAACAACTAAAACTGAAGCCTGGCAGTGATGACAGCTCCTGGAGGCATTTCTCTGGCAGAGATGGGATCTGTCGAAATACAGCTTTATTTCTCCTTTGCAATGCAGTTCTGAGCTACGATGCGTGCTTTAAAGGAACTGCCACAGTTAGGATGTGATTCCTGACATGTGTTTGGTGTCCCTGTGGGTCAAACTGCAGAACACAAACAGTTGTGCTCTATGGGGCTCCTCCCAGCTCAGAGCTTTCTTTTTTTTAAGTTGGGAGAAGTGCTCCACTGCTGTCCTCAGCTGTATCTGAGTGGCAGAGGCTGGAATGTGGTGTTTTTCACCCAGATGTGTGTTGCTGAAGGTTGGTGGGTGTGCATTCCTCCCAGTCTGTGAGATAAGGGCCTTTGCTGTGTGCCTTAGGCTGCCCGATCTCAGCAGCTTGTTGGTTTTTAATTTCTGCTGCACGGATAAGTTGTGCGTGTCAGGAAGGGAGCTGTTAGTTGAGGAAGTATTCACAGCATTCTTGAAGGCCTTCTGCACTTCTTAACCAAACATCGTTGTTCAGTTGAGTGTTCAGTTATGTGTTTTGTTTTGATTCTGGACCCAAAATAAAAAGGGGGTGTTCAGCCCTGGAAAGACTGAGCAGATGGCCTGAGCCACGTGGGCCGATCTAGAGTAGTGAAGGGGATGGTTTTGGTTCATTTCTGAAGGTGAGGAACACTTTGTGTTGTCTTTAATCAGGTTAAGATGACTTTGTCTGTAAAAGAGAAATTTATTTTTTTTTCAACTTTAGGCTGAAGAGGTTGACTGTAATGATAGGAACCTCTTTAAGATACCATTCAGCTGTTTGCATGTGCTCTCCAGAAACAGGGCTGCATCCCTTCAGTGCTGGATCCCTCCCTTGTCCCCTCTGTGAGGTGCAGCCTCCATCCCTGTGGGAGCTGCTGCTTTGTTTGCACACTCCTCCCCTTACTGATGAGATTCATGGGGCCACCACCGAAGCAGTGTTTTTATGGATGCTGTAGTCAGTTGACAGGTTTGTAGCAGATATTTGCTGGTGTTAAAATATAAAGATAAATTTCACTTTAATTCCTTGCATCCCAGAGAGATTAAACTTGTAATGCTGACATGTTTTGAAAGTCAGCAAGTGCAAGTAGGATTCAGAGAGCAGCACGCATTCATCTGCTTGAGTGCTGTTCTGTGTACATGTTAGGATCCTCCCTGGTCAAACTGCACAGCTGTCAACAGGTCACCTGTGTGCTGTCAGTGTCTTGTGCTCTCATACCAAAACTTAGAGTTTGTGTCCTGTTTTCAGTTAGGGAAAGTTACCAGAAGGAGCTCATCTCTGTTTCCTTCATCATTTGTAGGTTACACGTGAGCAGATACAGAGATGTGAGGAAGATGCAGTGAAGTACAGGATGGGAACGGGTTGTGTGGAAGCCCCTGAAGCGCAGTGATAGCTGAGTGTTTGTTTGCAGTATTAACAGATCGTGTTTCTCATTACAAAACCTGTTGTAGAGCTTATGTTCTTACTTTGAGACTTTCCAGCAGCTGTATGTTTCAGGAGTGCTGGGTGTCCTTGGGTAATCAGTTCTACATCTGGCATAAAGGCATTCTGTTAGGGTCAGCAGGAGCTCGCCAGCACTGCATGCTGTTGTCTTGCTGCCTGTTGCAGTGCCCATAGGTGAGGTCTGCTCCTGGAGCAGCGGCTGAAAAGCTTCCTCAGTTCGAGTGTTCTTACGTGTACTGGTGCTGTGGGAGCACTGGTGGTGTGAAGCATCTCCTGTGCTGCCTTGTGATGTCCTGCAGGAAGCACCGTGTGTCAGGAGGTGGGGGCAGGTGGCTGGGAGCAGTTATCCCTGATAGGAGCAGTATCTCAAGGAATAGGTGCTCTATTTAAAATGCTGTTTGACCCTGTTTGCAGTCTGTTACGTGTTTGGTTTTTTTTAATGCCAGAGCATGTAAGTTGTTTTGCATGGAGGTAGAATCTCTCATTCCTTTTTTTTTTTTTTTTTTAATTGGCTCGTTTTCGTTTTGGTTTGTTGGCTTTGGAAATTGGCTGAAGTGTCACTTGTTAATTGTTTGCTCAGGTACTGTGCAGTACTGTTGCTTTTCTTCCGTTCCTCAAATAGGGCTATGGTTATAGACATTTTTACTGACTGTTTTATTTGGTGCCCCAGTGGCCTAAGGTAATGACAGGAGAGGTGTTCAGGTTGGGTAACAGTGGGTATTTTCATGGCCATTTTCATGTTGTGGGAGGCTGGGCTGGGCTGCAGGCAGGGCAGCACTTGGTGCAGTTCTGACCTCCACAACCAGATTTGCAGTCTATGGTTAGTGTGGAAAAAGAGGACTGAGCTGATGGGGACAGCTGCTGGCCCTGGTGATACAGAGAGGTGGCTGCTGAGGGCAGGTTTTGGTGCTCTCTATTCACCCCCATTTGTTAAAATCCTTCCAAATGTATTTTAAGGAGTACAGTGTCCTGCTCTGTGTCCAGCATGTGTGAGTGAGCGCTGGATCAGACTGTAATGAACCACATCAGTGATGGCTTCCCTTGGTGTGAAATGTTTAGCATTAAGAGGTACCACCAGCACAATGGGAAGCAGGCGTTTTGGGGGCGTGTTGTCATTAACTGTGGTTGTAGTGTTTGCTGCCACCACGTAAAGCAAAGGTAGGACTGGATGTGGGTGAAACTTGGAGAAACATTGCAGACTGTACTAAAGGGGAGTTTTACTTTGTAGCTTAGAAAATAGAAATAATTACCAAATGTCATCAATTCGCGGGGAAAAAGAAATGCTGCTTGTTTTTCTCTCACCTGACAGGTTTGTAAGTACTACCTTTGTGGCTTTTGCCCTGCTGAATTATTCACAAACACCCGCTCTGATTTAGGTAAGCACCCATGTTGTTTTGTTGCCATTTGGACTTATTGCCATTTGTAAACAGCTTTATTGTCAAAAATGGTCATTTTGGAAATGACCATTCTTAGAGTTGTCAGTGGCACCATTTATTAACAATACTTATTCCAAATCCTGATTCTAAGTGGGGAATTTAATAATTTTAATTTTACGGTGTGAATTTAATAATCAGAGGTGGAGTTGCTCCATTTCTTTACAAGTGTTGTCTCCTACTTGGATTCAAGCTGTCTGGGCAGCGTTTGAACTTAATGTTTTCAGGCTTACATAACCTAAGAGAAAACCCACTGAGGAAGGAGGGAGAATTTGCCTGTGGCTGTGCTTCATGGTCACAGATCTCCTAATTCTACTCTAACGATAAATATTTTAATTGGTCTTTATTTTAAAGAACAATGCCTGAAGTTTAAGGAAGTGCTTTAATTACATTTAATATCTCATTTTACCTTTTTTTAAACTGTATTAAGGCTACACTACTTATTATTTTGTGTAGTTTTACTGATGTAGAAAAGTCTGGTAATTATCTTCTATGTGAAAACTTTACACATGGAATCATTCAGAATTTCAGAATTTCCTTTGGTTTTCTGACACGGAGCCACATTGGCATTCTTCCTGAAATGTTTCTTTCAAACTCCAAGCAAAAGAAGCAGAAAGGTGTTCTGTATAGATGTGCAAACAAATTCTGATAATGTGTTTACAGCATTCAAGAATGCAAGCTTAAAATTTATATGTGGTCTTTTTAGGTCCTTGTGAAAAAATTCATGATGAAAATCTACGTAAACAGTAAGTATGTTGTCACTGTGTTAATGCACAGTGCCTCCAGTGTGCTTGAACTGTCCTATAAACAGGCTCTCCATGAAAAACTGACTTCTTTCGCTTTGTATGAACTTTTGTTTATATAAATTGCGCAGTACTCTGTTACCTTCAGCAGAAGTTTGAGATGTGGCAGCAGATCATTGTTTCTTGTATGTTAGGAAGTGATGTGGGCTTTCATTTAAGCAATGTCTCTCCATACAGGTATGAGAAGAGCTCTCGTTTTATGAAAGTGGGCTATGAAAGAGACTTCCTGCGCTACTTACAAAGCCTGCTGGCAGAAGTAGAACGCAGGATTAGAAGAGGCCATGCTCGCTTGGCACTGTCACAGAACCAGCAGTCTTCTGGGGTGAGTGGAAGAATCATTGAGGCAAATAATTTTACCTCGAAGATGGAAACGTTACCTGTTTACTTTGTCTCCCCAGGTGACCCAAGAGATGCCCACTAGATCAGTCAGTTCCCATGGTAGCCTGCCTAGTGGCATTGGCCAAGCCAAGTGGCTGCAGTCAGCCAGCAGGAAT